CTGTAGTTCTTTGCTGGCCATCTCCCCCGTTGTCATTTGAGACAGCGACTTAGGGGAGAGGCTACCTATGAGCAGACGATCTCGCAGAGAAGCATTCTTCTTTACATTGAACATGATCGACCGTAATTGCGCCTTATATGATTCATTCGGCTCCCCTGACCGTCCGCAGATACTCTCATACATGGCATCCTCAATAGATAGAGCGAGTTGTTGTGCCATGTCCTCCACCGACTGATTCGCGCGCAAGGTAAAGGAGCCTGCTTTCAGGGCTGCAGTAATCTGATCTACAAACAACTTGACTAGGTGTGTGGCCACACTCTTGCGAGCAGGCATCAGCCCCTCCAAAGCTCCAATGGCAGGTGCCTCGGGAATAGTAGTGTCTGTTTTGATTTGGGGTGCAGGTGCCTCTGGGATAGCTGCCGGGGTAGCCTGTGGAGATACCCGTTGCTGTTTGACTTGCGGTCCCTGATAGATGAACGAGTTAGCATTGTGAACGTCATGATTGGGGGCGATGGAAGTATTTACATTTTCTCCCTCGACTGTCTCCTCAAGTTTGCGCTTGTTGGTGCTAGATCGCCGAGAATCAACAGCATGGCCATTCTTCTCAGGTTCGACTGAGACAGATACAGCAGACACAGCGGGTGCAGGAGAACCGGTGGGGCCTGGTGTAGTGGATGGCGCTGTGCGAGCTGGTGTGCTAGCATCTGTCCGGCTCTCACTAGGTCTTCCTTTGCGGCCTCCCTTCTTGCCCTTTTTCCGCTTGGACTTCTTCTCCTCCGCCTCTCGGCGACGTTTCTCAGCAACTTCTTCCCAGGGCTTCTCGCCGGCATTGATCTTTGCCAATAGGTTTGTGTGATTCTCCGGTCGACATTGTTCGCAATAGTATTGATCTGGTTCTTGGCCTTTCATGAATGTGAGCCCCATGCAGTCGTTGTGTTGCCATGCTGAACATTGATCACAGCAGATCATATCGCGTTCCACATCCTCTTCCTCTTCGTATTCACCACAGATACATCGGATGATCTCCTCTTCGTCTCCTTCGGGTTCACTGGGAGCAGGTGTGGGCTCGGCGGACAACTTTGCGCTCTTTTCTTTCGGGCTTTTGCTTTTGCCTTTTTCGCAGGATCATCTGGCAGTTCGAGGTTCTTGTGTTGACCTTTGGTGGCTCGACCGGAGCGTCGGGGTTCGTCTGATCTGGCTGTTAGCTGTGTTCTGGTAGTTGGTCCACAACCCACACTTGGGGTGCCCTGTCACTTCCAGGTGATCGGGTAGCAATGTGTAGTGATGGTGTACGAAAGCTTACCGGCCATGATAATGGTGATTCGGCGCGTACTACAGCGCGTGGAAGGGTAATAGGTATCTTCACTTGCTCGAAATTTGGGTGTTACCCCAGGCTGACAAAAGTCTCTACAGGCTCAAGGCGCTAATGTAATACACAAGAAGACGGCACAACAGCGTCACTGTCTAGCCCACAGTTTTGCTCGATCGAATAAAAGAAACGATCTAGTCTCTGCGCAATATTTCTTGGGCTAACACGCGATGGCGAGGAACGCGCTCAAGCGGGTGTTATGGGTGGACTGTGCAATCCCTTGCTGCGCGTCAAATCGACACTTGGCGCTAAGCGGGGTCGCGTGAAGTGAGTTGAGCCCAAATCACGCACTTTGTAGTGAAAATAAGCGCTAGATGTTTTTTCTGTTGAGATTGAAGTAGTATTCTCTCGAAGATCAAATGGCGAAAGCAATAACGCCCAAAGAAGGATGGTAAAAGATTGAAAAGAGATGCGATGCGATGTGAGGAGAAGAGAGATGAGTAATTAGCTTGGCTCCCGTCTTTGTCATTCACCGGGGGTGGTCATTATCACGTGCTATTTGTCACCAGCCACAGGTTCGCGGCGAAAGGCCCTTCGGTGAATCTTAAGATTGAGCTTCTCCAGGTTCCCCACTCTTCATCACAGGCTCTTTTATTCCCGCCAGTTTGATTCTCAACTTATTTCACCCACCATATCTCTCACCAACGAACTCCTTACACAACCTAAGAGAACATGGCCGACGTCCGATCGCTACTCCGCAGTGAATTAGCTTCCCGCAAGGGCACATCTCAACCAAATACGACAGGGAACCGGGTCACCAAAAAGCGCAAGGTTGACAGCGGAGATGGAGTGATGCGAAAGAAAATCCGCGCCGCAGAGCTAGACACATTTCAGTCTACTTCTGGCGTAACAAGCACCGAGCAAATCACAGAGGATGGAGGTTCGGAACAAGTTGAGGATGATATTGCTGGCCCGGAACTTCCACTCGACAACGAGCAAGGGATTGTTGAGCCAACGGCAGACCTTGCAGAAGAACCAACTACGCAGCCACCCCAAGAGCCGTCCACGCCTATTGACGAAGAAGCATGGGCAGCATTTGAACGCGAGGTTGCCGAGCAGTCTGATGAGCCACATGCACCGGCCGCTGTTACAGCCGAGGCTACGATATCCGCGGCACCAATGACAGCTGCAGAAATCGCTGCGCAGGAAGAGAGAGCAAAGGCATCGACTGTCCGCACCCGTGAGGCAGAGATGGAAGGGGAGCGAGAGGATGCCGCACGCCTTTTGGAGGAAGAGTTCGACGAGATGGATCAGCTGGAGGAGCGGGTGCGAAGGCTCAAACAAAAACGCGAGGAGCTGCGCAAAGCCCGCGCCGAAGATCAAACACAGGACGAGCCGATGGGACCTGCCGCAGCGGAGCAGGTTGAGAGCGAGAGTGAAGACGATGACGATGAGGATTGGGATGATTGGAGATTTAAATGATTGGATCGATGGTGAAATGACGAATCGTCTACGTGCAGGGAAATGATTTCCCTCATCTACAGTGATACCCTCAGGAACCGAATGGCATTGGTAGAAGCAAATTGCCTCTTGATGTACAATATGAGCTCGGCTGTCCTTATCTCGACAAAAGTGACATGTAATATTCAGTTACCAACTATTATTGACTCGGCTTCTGTTCCCCATCTGCCTCCTGATCAACATCCATGTAGCTCATTAGTCCGTCTTTGTTGACGCGCATTGCTTGTTCAATCTCGGCCTCGCCTTCTCGGAGGAGGTGCTTGCCACGTAGAAGATCTCCTCGCTGCCTCCGCTTCTCGTCTTCCACCCGCTTCTCCCGATCTGCAAGGGCCCTCTCGCGTTTCTCCCGTTCGACACGTTTTCGGTCGACTTCTTCTAGCTCTTCTGCCGTCATCTGTACCTCCGGCGCCGGAGGAAGAGTAGATATATATGCCTCAATCAACGGGTTCCGAACCTCCGGAGTGAGTCCGATATAACGAATGTCGGTGATGATCATGGCGGGCAGAGCTTCCAAGTTCGACGACCGATGCAACAAGTCCAAAGGAACAGATTTGAGCAGCGCCGACAGATCTGACTTGCGAGTGCTTTCGGGTTGCTTGAGACGTGAGATGTGGTCCCGGTAGAACTTCTCGCGGTCTTTGTCTCCAAGCTGAGAGTCCTTCATTTCAGGCTCTTTCCTGTACTTGCGCTTGAACTCCGGCCAGTAAAGCTTCGGAGTGGCATGCTCTTGCAAAAATGCCAGATATCTAATGCGTGGGTCGGTCTTCTCCTGCTTCGCTTTTTGCTCTTTCACATCTTGGATTCGGTCCCGGCTCCAATTGGAAAAGATCTCTCGTCGAGTCTTCATATTCGAGGGTGCGGTATACCGGGTATCTTCAATGATGCGGCCTTCTTCAATGACGTTTTCCCATGTCGTAAATGGGTTGATTCTGAAGTCATCCAGCAAGTCGCGGAAGAGGGCCTCAGCATCGGCCTCTGTCAGCGGCAGGCCCTCTGCACCCTCCTCCCAATCTTCTTCCCCGACTTCGCCATATTCCCCAGGGTCTAGTCCGTAGTCTTCACCCATGGCTGCTAATTGGTATGCCATGTCTTCTTCGTTGAACTCTAGGGGCTGATCCTTGGCGTCCTCACTTTCAGCTCGTGCACGCTTTGATGGTTGGCCCTCTTCTCCCTCGCTGTCTGTAACCTCGACCTCTTCGTATTCGGAGTCATATTCTGTATGTTCCACTTCTTGTGGTGTCGGCTGGGGCTCTACGCCACCATCCTGCGGTGTGGGCGATTCCTTTTTAGCTGGCACCTCGGGCTCTCCTCGTTCTTTTCTTTCCCTCTTCTCACGCTCGAGGCGATCAAATTCGACCACGCCCTTCAGAACTTGCTCTGGAAATTTCCAAAAACTTTCATTTGTTTCTGGATTGTGCACGAATCTCCTCCCAAGCTTGGTCTTTACTAGTAGCCACGGGGCGCAGTCAGGAATAGGATGCTTTGCTTTTGGTCGATCTTCGGGTTCTCTCCGTCCACGGTCATGATAACCTCTCCCACCGCGGAATCCTCCGCGGCCGCGAAAGTTTTGTGGTGGGCCAAATTGCCCTGGCCCAGTGCCAAACCCTGTCGGGCCATATGGAGTTGAAGAAAATGGAGGTAGCGTCTCGGGATTGTATGTTGCTTCTGGGGTTTCGGGGGCGGCCTGAATAGGCTGAGGGGCTGTTTCTTGAGGGCGGGTATATGTCGATTGTTTTGTTGAAGAATTATAATAGTACAAATGACCTAGGTTAAGAGTTAGAATGGCCAAAACTTTTTACTCGGGCCCAGCGCAAGACTTACCTGTGGGGGCTCGATGTTGTGTCCACCCCGAAGGCAAAGGGGGAGGTGCGGTGTATGTTGACCTGAGCATGACGATCAAGATGAATCAATTGAAATACAAAGAAATGGGGAGGTCGGCCTCGTAGTCCGTCCTTTGCGGGTCAAAGTGGTGAAATCGTCGCAACGAAGCTTTGGTGTGGTGAAGTTGGTCCGAGCTTGGCGGATGACAGAGGACGCGCCAGGGCGAGTTGCCTGGAGCTTCTACGTCTTCACCACCGACCTTCACCATCCCGAACCACCTCTCTCGCACAATCAACCCTCACTTTTAGCCCATTTCTGAGTTTTTGTTGCTTTATTTTATTCATACACGATGTCTCGGAGATACGATTCGAGGGTTTGTTCACACCGTCATTCCTTTTGTGCAGCTCCAGCTAACCTATGACGCTGTTGGAAAGACTACCATCTTCTCTCCAGAGGGTCGGCTCTACCAGGTTGAATATGCACTTGAGGCTATTTCTCACGCCGGCACAGCCCTTGGTATCTTAGCCAAGGATGGAATTGTCCTCGCTGCTGAGAGGAAGGTGACCAGTAAGCTGCTGGAGCAGGATACCTCCGCCGAGAAGCTCTACACAATCAACGAGTACGCTCACCCCTCTTCCGTCTCCAATCAAATAATCACATTTACTGTGCTAGGGGTTGGATAAGTAGCTAATATTTTTCCAGTAACATGATCTGCGCCGTTGCGGGTATGAACGCCGATGCCAACATTCTCATCAACTATGCTCGCCAGAACGCCCAACGCTACCTCCTCACGTACAACGAAGACATTCCATGTGAACAGCTTGTCCGCCGGTTGTGTGATCTGAAGCAAGGATATACCCAACATGGAGGTCTCCGCCCGTTCGGTGTCTCCTTCATCTACGCCGGATACGACCACCTCCGTCAATTCCAGTTGTACCAGAGCAACCCCAGTGGAAATTACGGAGGCTGGAAGGCGACGAGTGTTGGGGCAAACAACGCAAGTGCACAGAGTCTCCTCAAGCAAGATTACAAGGAGGACTGCGATCTGAAGGAGGCTTGTGCTATGGCTGTCAAGGTGCTGAGCAAGACTATGGATTCCACAAAGCTGAGCAGTGAGAAGAGTGAGTTTTTTTTCGGGTATCGCTTTTACATTGCGTTTCATCAAACTAACATTTCTACCTTACACAGTCGAGTTCGCAACAGTGGGCAAGACCAAGGATGGTAAGATCTACCACCACCTATGGACTGCAGATGAGATTGATTCCCTTCTCCGGGAACAAGGGCTGGCCAAGGTCGACGATGAGCCCGAGGCTGGTGACATAAAATAGATTAAATCCTCTCTTGTTCTTTTTCCATTTCAGATACTCGAATCCAATACTTTGATCATAATCATCCGGTTGCAATATCCTAGAATCACCTCATGTCCAAACAAAACATTGGTCTTTCATCTATCGTGTGTGCTTTTGTTTACGGCTGCATCTGGTGTTGTTCTTATTGTGACGTGGCATGCACATCGGCCCAGTCTCAGCGCTCTTCTTCAGTTCTACATCCCAATTTGACGCAGCTTGTCTTGAAGATGTTGGAGCAGATAGGTACACGTAGGCTGAAGAGACATGGGTGTTGCTTAGGGGCATGCAGGTTCTAGCCAGCGCAAGTAAATTCTCCGATTATAGTGTCAGGATATATAGTTCCCAGCCTCGCTATTCTGTGGCCTTCGGTTGAACATCTCTTCTCTTTTCCTTTTCTCTTCTTCATCCATGTCATGAAGACTTATCGAGTCTATCACCATTTTACCTAGATTTCTCACACTCATCGTTTTAGAGCTAGGTTGAAGATTTGCTATGTTGGAGTTGTCCATGGCCTGGGGGGGAGGTATAGAGCAAGGAAAGTGGAACCCACCCTAACCCACCTTAGCCCTGAGTATTCTCCTCACAACACTAACGTACCAGCAGAACACCTTCGACTTTCCTTGCCCTCTACACTATGGTCCTACTTAAGATCCATCTCCTTTGTGACAGGTTCATCTTATTAGGTTATCTAAGCAGGGGATCATCACGTGCGGGGATGTGATGAGGGGCATTTTGTTCCACACTATGTGCCCTCGCTCTGACACCAGACACCACTGCTCTCAATTCAAGGATTATCTCCATTCTGAATGGCCATTTAATATTCGTCAGGTCTCAATGGCCTTTTTGTCTGCTTGCAGCAGGTGCCACTCCTTGTCCTGTGAGACTCAATCTGTCTCAGCGAACCGCTCACCCAGGAAAACAGGGCGCTTATGACATGGCTAGTCCCTATTGACATTTTTTTTGGGAGCTTAACAGCCTATGGACAGAAAGCAATATGGAGTCTGAACCAATCAAATTTTTCGTCAATCTATTCAAAGGCGATATTCATCTCCCATCACCTTGCAGAAACTCGATTCGGACTTAAATGTCACGGACAAATGGTGAAACATGAAACTCGCTGCAAATCCCCCTAAAGAAACAGTGACAGGTAACAAAAAAAAAAAAAAAAACCACAGGACAATTGGCCACCAATGACCTGAAACAAGTCAACATAATTGCTGTTCACCTGTCCAACAAAAAAGAAAGAAAAGAAAAAAAACCCCAAAAAACCCCAAGGAACACCGGTTTTACAGATCCAAGCCAATCCTATCTTAGGAGTGTGCTCCTTCGGTCGTCCCGCTCCCGCTGCAGGGAGCGGATCTCCTTCTCCAACTCCATAATGAGTTTGTGAGACCGATCCATTGAGGCCACCAGTGTGGCACCCTCTCGCTTCCACCGGTCCAAACGGTCGACTTCAGCACTACGCCTGCGATATTTGGTTTCGATCTTTTCACAGAGACGACAATTTGTCTTCTCATTCTCGGTCATGTTGACGAGTCTCATACCGCATGTCTCGCCGGTGCGGTATTCATAGTTGCATCGGTGAGCAAAGCTGGTCCAGCTCCAGTCTCCACACGCAAATCTCTTTTGGTTGTAGAAGCACATGCCTATCAGATCTGTCAGTGCTGCTCAATCTGCAAGTACGACATAACCCACTTGCTCACGGCTCTCCGTCTGTGTTTCAGCTTGAATCCCGGATTGCTATTGGTTGCACCTGACAGTACACCCGCGCTTGTCGAATTTGATAGGCCGGCCTTTGTCTGAGTTTTTAAACGATCCGGAAAGTTCAACAAAGTTGAAACAAATTTTGAATGAATCCTTCTTATGAAGAAGATCTATTGGCCTGGCTTGAAGATTTCAGACTCGAATTATGAAACTGGAGGGATGATTGAGAACTTCACGACATCATGGGGGCGTCAACGGGCTTATTTATGTTTCGGGTGAAGTTTCTATGCCATGGCATTATTCTCCCACATTTACCTCGTCCCACCGTTGATCGACGTTTGTCAGTGCCCGATGGCTTATCATCCGTGGTTCCAGTCTGTGGATTTGACATCGCACCTGCCTGACGGTTGATCCGGTTGGCTGTGAGCAGTTCTCCAAGCAGTGGAGACGGTATTATGGCCATGGTATCTCGAATGGAGCCACTATGAACAACCGGTTGCTTCATGGATGCATGCAACCCTCAGCCGTGGCGATTCCCTCCTCATAGTGATGATGTACGATGGGTCGAAAATCCCTCAATTCATGGCTGCAAATCCTCTAGTTTCCAGATTCGACTACTGCAATTATGCCGTCGCCATCTGCCTCTCCCCGCTTTCATGTGGATGCTGTTCGCATGGACTCGCACTCCTGTGATTCTCTTGCGTTTTGCATGCCTGATCCTGCATGACCGAGTCGGTCCTGGTACTTGCCAGCTGTCGTATTGATGCAATAATCAGGCTTTCATGCCCAGGGATAACCCTGTCTCTATGCAAGAGAAAAGCTACTGCCTTCGCGAATGTGATGGGACTCTGCACGCCACTTGTGACTCCACCACAATCGGTTGTTCTATCTTGATGTGATTTTTCGACAGCTGCAATTATTGATTGGCTCGGTGCCTCATCTATCATGAGCACTGACACGGGATTCTGGCCGAACGCCATGTTTTATCCGCAGAAGTATCGATCCGATATTGCTGTCTGTGTGATTGCATACGCATGCACATCCCGAGTCATTGCCTTCACTCATCTTCATGGCTCTTGCGTCTCCTGCATTTGGGCAATAATGGATATTCATATTGGGTCTCAGCATGTGGTTGCAACTATTAGCCCCTGTCGTCTTGTGTTATTCCTGCCGGGCCTTACTCGCCAGTCTATCAAAGTTTAGGCTCGGCCGTCTTTCCACCCCTGCCGCACCTTTCCGGTCCATGTCTTTCAGCCAATGGCCCTCACTTAAGTGGCAATGTTGGAGACTCTGAGGCTCTATCATTGGCACTCGGGCTCAGGGACACGGACCATGCAGTTCAAATTTCTTGTGCCACACCCCAAAAATTAGGGATGCAGGCCAGATAGATCCATTTTCGTTCAGCTGATCTCTCACTCCTGCAAAGAGGGATGCTGCATTTGCCCCCGCTCATGTGTGTGTTCATCATCATCCACTTGCTTCTTTTGGCGGAAATGATAGGATCGGATTGATGTACGCCGCTCGCCGCAGACACGAACCGTGACACATTCCACATATTGCTGAACCACATGCAGCTGCACCAAAGCTCAGAGACTCTGACGTGGCACGTTTTTTCTGGCTTTCTGCATCAATTCTTGGTAGCGAGGACCGGGTCGAAGGCCGTAGATCCCCGTTTAGGGATTATATGCAAGCTCCACTGAGGACCCAGACGCCCTTCATGGTATTGACAATGACGAAATACGACTGATTGCCAATATGGAATGGGAAATCCTGCACAATTCTGTGCTTGCCCGTTTTGGCCGATTGTTCTGGGCAATGCACCAATACGACCAGCGATCGTCGGGGAATGCCGCTCAATCACGCCCAGCATTGGACCCAGAAAGATGATCCGTGACAAGATGTTGAGTTGGCAACTGGCATCCCTGATGATGGCTCACAGCCGCAAAATGACCGTCACACCTGGTGGATCTATTCTTTGCTGCGGCGAGCTGGTTGCATCCAGGCCCAAAAAACCCTCGAATCAACTTCTGAAGCCCCCCTGCTCTTTTGCCTCTCGCTCCGTCTTACCACCGGAATCCCCTCGTCCATCCTTAGTGTACCAATCTTTATCCTCGCAAGGATCAGGCCGGGTGTGTGGGTGGGAAAAGCATGGTTGTTGTTTCTGCCCAACAAGCGAAGTTGCCGGGTGAAATACTAGAGCATTTTTGATCTGGTTAGAGCTACTACAGGCCAATTTTGAGTGCTATCAGCCTGGGAAGGCCGTGTCTCAACGTTAGAATTGAATTCCAGGACCCGCATACAGGCTTCCACAGTGCCGGGCTCTTCTGATCCCGTGATCTGAAAGTGAACGGAGGCTCCCGCACCCTACACACGCCTGCCTTTGACCGGCGACAAATCGTTAAGGGCAACGCTGCCTTCGGTGCTGGATAGCGAAAAGCCCACTACCTGCATTTTCTTAATCGTACGGGGATTGGCCGGCTGATTGACTTATCCTCACCTGCAGCCGGCCTAATCGTCCAATGGCAACCGTCGGCCGGGATGTCAGTTGTATGCAACTAACGAGACCTTTCCCCACCCATCCTGCACCAAAGAGGCGTGTGCATTTCATCAGCACTTGCGTAGGGTGCGGCCTACACCTACCTCTCATTGGTGGATCGTACTATCCCTCTCCCTGAGTGGACTCTCGGATTCGCGTGTTCCCAGTTGTCATAGACATTCCTCCCCGGGCCTATGTCCGGATGCTCCACCTGCGGCACACATCACGAACAGACTACTAAATCACATTCTAGGTGGTCCATTTTCCTTTCTTTTTCTTCTGGTATCATCTGGAACATCCTATGTTGGATGTAATGCCCAAGAAATCCTCTACCTGGTACTTCTGCTAATTGGCCAAGGGTAACTTCGGGTTGTCCATTCAAATTTCTATGTGGGTTATGGGTTACCTTGAGATACTACATTTCAGCTAGGCTGCCCTAACACGTGTTGGCGCGATATTAATATAGGGAAATTTACAACCACTTCATATCTCAATATCATCTATTTAAAGTTCGGACCCGCAGTTTCCTTTTTCTTTCATCTGCTCGGAGTCCGTTGGCCGACCAACCTACATACACTACATGAACAAGTCAATCGTCCTCTAACTCCAACAAGGTCCGGCATCCGGCTCCCCTTCATTCTCATTACTCTTCTACCCTATCTCCGATGGGCAGAATCACAGGTGGGTGATCACCCTCGCTCTCGCCGCCTCATCTTTGCAAGCAACGCAAGACTATACTGTATGATGCTACGATGTCACGATTTAGAAGATGCCGAAGGATTTCACAATACGGTGGGTGTATGCGTACAAGACTACGAGACTGACAAATCAGCAATGGGTTTTGTTCGAATATCCTGGTGAGTTTGGCCACGTTTCTCCCGAGCCAGTTCGCCTGCCGCGCACGCTCGAACCCCTCTACAGCGGCGCCTCTACGTATTACCGGGAGGTCGGAAATAAGGCACGTCACCTCCCCATGCATCATTTGGCGCCATCTTCTGACGGGCTGGTGGCCCGCCATCCGTCAGAATATGAACTGGATCTGCATGGTGTGACGGTTGACCAGAAGTACGCTTGTAGTCAGGAGTGGAGCCCCCATGGCCGACTCAATATTTCGTGCAGTCTTGGTCACCACTCCTTCGAACGCAACTCGCATATTGGCTCTCATCGCTGAGTGGTTGGCCCCTCCTTCTTTCCGGGTACTAGTGCTCTGACAACAGAGCCCCAAGAAATTTCCACATTAGACAGAAGGAGCACCACTAAGGAGAATTTTGATCAGAACCTCTCTCGTTTCTATCCCCAATTTTCATTATGTTTGTTCATAAACCGTTGACACCTTGCTTCCATATCAAGCTCTTCCCTCGTCTTTAGGTACATATTATTCCTATAATATGGACATGACACATATTCTACAAATGACGGTGTATACTTGGATAAAATAATATATCAAACCAACGCAATTTAGTAGCCAAAATTCCAAGTGCTCTTTGGTTGTGTTTGTATGAAGCCGGCCTCTTAGGGCAAGCTCATTACCAGATTAGGTTAGCCTGACTGTTTCTGACGTCAGTATGATACTAAGGTCTAGAGAACTTGGAACACAGCGAGGAATGAGACTTCTTGTAATGGATTCTTTCCAATAGTGACAACCTTGAAACAAGCAATTCTTCTATATAATTGCTTTCCCCTCCAATTCATTGTATCCTACAATTTCAATACTCAAGTCCAACCTCAACGAAATATCTATACGAACCACTTCAATCCGCACCTGAAACCATCATATTCACATATTCACACAATGTGGAAAACTATCATCTCAGCAGGCCAGCAAGCCACCCGAGCCAGCCGGAGCCAGCTCTCAAAAACCACCACCCAATCCCTCGCCACCCCAACAGCAACAAGAACGCCCTTCAGCACAACCACACTCCGCCAGATCGAAGATGGCCAGGGTTCACTCGACCGTGAAACATTGAATCCGGAGCGCTCAGAGACTGCCAAATCTGGTACAGACGGCGAGGTTGCCAAGCACCCCTCTGCATTTGACCCAAAGAATACAGCACCCGAGAGCGAGCTCGCGGCTACTGAAGAGGAAAGCAAGCAAGAAGGCAAGAAGGAAAGCCCTTTAAATATGAGCCCGGCCAATAGGGATGCTAGCGCCTGGAGGCGCCAGGCTGAGGACGGGCCTGATCGGAATCGGGATCGCGAGGCTTCTAGCTCTCGTGGGGCGCCGAAGAAGGGTCGTGGTATTCATGTTAAGGAGGATGGAACTCATGTTTCGTATCGGGACTGAATGCGTTCTTTTGTTTATAGGATCACGGCCGATAAATGATAATGTGATGTGGGGAGTTCAGCATTTCCAAAATACATGTCATACTGAGTTTCAATCAATGTTATCAAATAGCATGTCCATAGCCGCGTAACGTCATAAACCCTGGAACATAAGAACTAGAAGTCTCTGTATTTACATACAGATATAGCTTATTTTTGGCGCACCAAGCCGCTCAAGACGAGGCTTCCTTGCCGTATTTAATAATATCACTGCCAAACAAGGTCCAAACCTTCTCACTGCCCTCAGGAACATCACCTTCTAGAGCCTTGAGACCAGCATTGACAGCAGCTTTGCCAATAACATCCGCCTCCTGAGCCCACCCATCTTTCAGACTGGGGTGCACCTTGCCAGCCCAATTAGCAATGAACCGAATCCCAGCCTCGAGTGGCCGGCTTTCCTCGCGAGTACCAGCAATCATCCCAGGACGTAGGATAACCATGCGCTCAAAGCCGAGCTTCTTGATATCCTCCTCAATTTCACCCTTCATGCGGGAGTAGGCAATGTTGGAATCCTTGTTGGCACCGGCAGAGGAGATCAGCACGTAGACCTTGGTACCAGCTTCGTGTGCGGCCTTGGCCAATTCGACGTTCAACCCATGCTCGATTTTGTATTGGTTGTCGAACCCGCCTGCAGCAGCTTTTGTGGTTCCAAAGGCGGAAAAGAAGATGCTGGGAGTCGGGGACAGGGAGGAGAGCTGGCTTGCCCAGGTGGCGGTATCGCCGGAGACGAAGTTGGTGAGTTTGGCTGGGGGCGTATCGCCAGTGACTGGCGGGGTACGGCGGGAGATTGTGTCCACACGGGTTACAGCGGGGTTAGAAATAAGACTGGCGAGGATATGGGAGCCCTGTTGGTTATGCGACTTAGCTCAAGTTCTTCGGCGTGTTGTAGATTGTGGAGCTTTGTTTGCGGGATATGCACTTACCACCATACCCGTACCACCAATTAATGCGACATTCGCCATTTCTGTATATAGGGAGTTGTAATTAGAGTAGATGTCCGTTGTGTTTGTACAGCATAAAATATCAGGAGGGGAGCGCAGGAGGAGCTCTGGAGAAATCCATAGGCGCCAGTGCCTTTCGTCATCCCGAGATTGGGCTAAACTACATTGGGTAAGATCGACATGGGTTATCAACACAGCACTTGCATAATCATTTTGTGCATAGCCACCTGGGCAGTCTACGAGGAAACATAGTTAATAAGGTGTCCTATATAAATAATTATCGCATTTGTTTACTATTCAAAATATCAAATGCCACCATGAGAAGGTGATATAGATAATACTAGCTACATATGTGGAGATGTTTTGCATAATATATATCTCGTTAGTTATCTGCGTCTACCATCTACAAGGATTCATCACGAATATAACAGTATTAGAAGGTGCAGCTCGATTTAACCTCAGTCAACTAGCTCCACACGCGCTGGCTTATAGCTTGTGTACGGAGGACTTAGCGGTCCACCCTCTGAATTTCTTCCCGTAAAAGTAGAAAGGGATCGCAAAGAGACACCACATCGTGCACAAACACATATTCATCATAATGGGCTTGATAAATCCACTTTCCTCAACCCATTTAGTGATGAAATTGCTGAAGCCATATCCCCACAAATTTTTATTAACAGTGATAGACACGAAAATCGAGCCTGCAACAGGCTTATAGCTGTCGACGGCGTATGTACTGGCGATGGCTGGTAGAACTGCAACCTGAATACCAGCTGCAGTATACCCAATAATCACGATTGCCTGCAATAGTCAGATCAATTTTCACCAGTATTAGAAACATAAAGGACTTACCCGCCAATCCCATTTATATTCATATCCGAACGCAACAACAAAATTGCCAATGATCATAATCACAACATAGACTGCCATGGCCGGTAGACGCATTTCTGGCTCTCGAACGCCATTGTTTTTGCGAGTGGCTCTCATGGAAATCCAATCGGAGAAAGGACCATTAGTTGCTAGCCCAATAAATGCTCCAATCAAAATGGCGAAGTTGAAAAATCCGATGGTCTGGCTGTCAAAGTTATATGGTGGCTTCGCGAAGGCCTGGCTTTGCGTGAGATTAAGTGTCAAGAAGCAACTTGATGTCCAAGACACAACGAAGGCAGAAAAGATAACGATAGGGAATGTCAACATCTTCCAGGGGATCCAGAAGCTGTTCAGGACAGATTTGAAAGTCACGCCATCTACCTGCCATAGCTTGAATTGCTGCTTTGAAGGACCACCACGATGCAGATATGGATCCTGGCCAGGAGGCGCTTCCACTTGAACATTCTCAAGCTGTGATACTTGGACCAACTTTTCAGGATCTGACTCATTTGTTTTCTGGTTTGTACTCGGTGCCCCGTGTGCCTCATTAGGGTGAACACGGTGCCATTTAGTCTCCGGAAGGAGAACGATCTGCAGGATGAGCACGAGGCCTAGGAGACCCACGTTCAGCCAAAAGAAGCTGCGCCAGCCGACGTGCTCAGCCATTGAGCCTGCTAGAATAGGACCGACCTATGTAATGTTAATGAATGACCTCCTAGAGGTGGATGAGTCTCCTTACTATCATTGAACCAAAGTACGCCGTGAAATACAAGGTGTTATACGCGCCACGATCGTGGAGGAATATAATATCTGCGGTAATCTCGGGTTGAGAAGTCTAGCGTACATTGTTAACTCTACAACAACCAAGCAACGAGTTATTGGGAATTGTGACAAACCTCTGCAGGACCAGCACCAAATCCATTAAGCACACACGCGCCCATATAACTGCCGTAACTGGTTGCTACCGCACGCCAAATGTTGCTAATGAGGCAGATAAGGGTTGAAAATATCAGGACAGGTCGTCGACCGTAGCATGTTTGAAGGGGGATCCTGCATCATTAGCTGTGAGTGATTTCATTCCTTGGAGTTAGTGGATGGAATTTTACCAGAAGAAATTGCTAAATCCTAGCACCAAAATGCAGATTCCTGTAAATTGCACAACGCCGGGGAGATCAGAATCAAATGATTCCATTAGTTGAGGAAACATCGGTGCCAACGCCAGAGGTCCCAAGCCCTGAGCGAATGATGTCGCCGTGGTAATGGCCATTACGCTCATCTTCCAAAACGGGCTCCAGTTCTATTTGGTGTAGTGTTAGAACGAATGTTCTTCTGATATAGTTCGCTTGAAGATGAAACCTACCAGGGGATCATGAGGATCCTGCGAAGGCTGGGGTACCAGAACCCGGTTGGACTTCGCTGAGGACTTCACGAAATGATGTGTGCCCACATCAGCCATGATTTCCGTGCCCGGATAGATGGTTGTTCCCAGCTCCTCCTCAATTCTATAGTTAGATCAAAATAATTAGCACAGACAGATTTCCACAGGTGATAGGGGTTCTTACTGATGGAGAGCCTAGATAGGACTACTTGTTAGTTTGCCAACTGTCATGGCGCCCATACCGAGGAGTACTCACGCCTTCATCATAGTTCATCTCCATGGTGGATCAATTCGTCCTTCCAGGTATGTTGCCAGCAAAAGGCTTGTTGGCGCAAGATTGAATATTTAGCGATCAGCCCAAGTCTTTATTGAATTGTTTGCATCTGTACCGCTCAAGCCAGAATCCCATCAGTTTATGTTTCAACGCGGCTAGCATGGCTTTGTATGTGCGGAATTCCCCCGGATTTGCCATCCAATTATTTAATAGGGGATTGGTGCATTGTAGATCACTCTTGGTGCAATCATGTACGTTCTCTGCATGTGCATCTTGTGGTAACGCATCCAAGGGGCATTTAGCCGAAAAGAGCAACCACTCAAACGGCTTATAAGAAGAATTAGGGCTTACGGCTCCCTCTGCCAGGATGATAATGCGGGGAATTAAGTTCTGGGGTGTCTCCACTCGACTGCGGATTATCCCCACACTCCTCGGTTACGGCCTGCTACGTATTTAGGTATCCCTTCTGGCTCTATGCACTTGTATTGGCTACTCTACACTATTCAATCTAACCGCGGAACTTGGCTGCTGGCGGAATTAGGGAGACATTGATAAAGGGTACATTGGCCTAAGCAGCCTTTTAGCGAAGTTGCCACCGTGAAAGGCTCGTTTGAGGTCCTGTTATGTAACTATACTTAGATGATCTGCAAATCATAAAAGCGTTTTGTACGGAATATCCCAATCGGAAATGAAGAATAGTGTGTCAATGGTCACACATATCCCCAAATGATATTCAGCCCTTATCATCAAAAGTTGCTGTGCGAGGGTCCGCCAGCCATCTAAACTTCGTCCTCGAGATGTCAATCTAATAGTAGTAGCAACACGAGATGTGATCTGCCAAAAAGCGAAAAGGGGCTGTTCTCAACGGAAGTATTCCGCCTCTCTAGCCCAGCCCTGGAAATTGCATCTTGGAATTAAATGGATGTTATTCTCATGATAAAACCAAAGCTGTATAGTGTAAAATGTCATTTTAATCTATTGTATAGCTCAATCTCTAATGCATAGAATGATTTGGTGATGGCCGTAGCAAGAGTGCTTGAAGTACAATGTACTGGGCTTGAAATATTGAGATATTTTTCTTTATACTTCAACATACACCAAGGAGCGTAGTTTCAAGGAAAACACAAAGATTGAAGAATTTCACGTTAATGATATGAAATGGAAGACCGTCATATAATTGCTAGGATGAGGTTTAATACACGTAGCTCTTCGGCTTCCTAATCCACAGCTCAGGCTTGTTCGGATATAAACGGAAATACGGGAGAAACACACACTCTCCGAGGAGGGAAAACAAAATAAAATGAAAGCCAAGCCAATATACACAGTAAAAAAAATGTATCGTAGCGTAGCGGTCGGTTTCCGCAACTGGTTGCCTCGGTGTCTGATCCACCATTCGACGTAGTTCTTATACCACACTGGAGCATGGATTCAAAATGTGATTAAAAGTTTTCTCTCTCTCTTCCTCATACCAGTACACGTTAAAATGAGTTCCAATACCGAGACTCTGCAGTTTGATATCCCAGCTCTATGCAAAGCTGGTGTTGTCGTTAATGAGGGGCCCGACTTTCGGGTTGAGGTGCAGATGGTACCTGTCCCTGAACCTGGTGAGTATTCATATACCAATCGGCCTCTTCTATAGTCAAATTGCTAAAAGTGTTTTACCAGGGCCCGATGATATCTTAATTCGGCTCAATTTCACCGGCCTCTGCTCGTCGGATATCCACATGATGAAAGGCGATCTCGGTGTGCCACCGATGTCCACATTCGGCGTGCGATCTCCGGGCCACGAAGGCGCCGGTATCGTTGTCAAAGTCGGTGCCAATGTTAAGAACTTCAAGCTGGGTGATAGGGCAGGCATCAAGCCGATCACTGATACTTGCGGATCTTGCGCGATGTGCTGGGATGATAAAGAAACATATTGCAAGACGGCTATTCACACTGGTTTGATGACACCTGGTAAGTTAAATCACCCTTTTCCCCGGGAAATGATCCTTATAGATCTCTAGGTACATATCAACAATACATTGTTTCCCCCGCACGATACGCGTCGCCTATTCCAGACGGTGTCCCTGATGAAGTCGCCGCACCGATCATGTGTAGCGCAAGCACGATGTATCGTTCACTCGTTGAATCCAATCTTCGCGCCGGATCCTGGGTGGTCTTTCCAGGTGGAGGAGGTGGCGTGGGTATTCAGGGCGTACAACTCGCTAAAGCCATGGGAATGCGACCTATTGTCGTCGACACAGGCGACTCTAAGCGAGAATTATCCCTGAGAATGGGGGCAGAGGTTTTTATCGATTTCAAAGAAATCGAAGATCCTGTGAAATCTGTGATCGAAACCGCGGACGGAGTAGGTGTCCACGGTGTTTTCGTCACCGCACCTGCAGCATACAAAAATGCTGTTTCTTATGTTGGTCAGCGGATCGGGGCTGTTGTTATGTGTATTGGAATGCCTCCTGCTGGTTCAACAATTCTAGGGGCCGATCCCTGTGAGTTTGTCTTCAAGAACCTTAGCATTAAGGGGTCTTTAGTGGGTACTCGGAGTGATACTGCTGCTGCATTGGACTTTGCGAAGCGGGGTATGCTGCAGCAAGTTTCCGAGGTTTATCCTATCAATCGGTTGCCTGAAGGAGTTGAGAAGTTGCGAAAGGGGCAGGTGGCAGGACGGATTGTAGTTAATTTCAACTGGGAGGAGTAAATGAAGCGGATGCTTGAGGCATTACAATGTTTGAAAGGCCGTTCTTTTGTGCTGCCGGACTTGATTCTCCAGGGGGCTTTATTGGTTTGTAATTATCAATTAGATCGCAACTACCATTTGAGGAGTACAATGTTTAGTGTTGAGTTGTATGTAGTATTATAATAATGGTATACCTCAGTCATGAAATTTCCGAAACCGATGGTTTTCAAGGTGCAATATATTCTCACTACAATGGGATAATTGCCATTTTGAAGTGGAATGTTCCTTGACTATACATGGTTCTTCTAGTTATCTATCCCAAGGTTGAGAATGAAGGTTATACTTGTATGATTGATGGTCACGTCAATACCTGAGGAATATGTTCAAACATCGCCATACTATGCTTCAACACGCCCACAGAATCAGTATAAATTACTGCTCAAACATTACAGGGCACCAAACGCGTTGCGCAGATTCCAACAAACGGTTAATGAACGGTTAATAAACGGTGGGGTTTATACCAGGAAGTCATAGTAGGCTGGTCATCTCCGGAAACTTTAGAGTCAAACATGGGTCAACTAAATTGATGACCATTACATCTCCTTCCTCGACTTACTTATGTACTGAGATTATCTCTATTGTGTTGTGTGGGTGGAGTTGCAATTTTATTTCAAGATGTCTTTTGACGCCTTGCCCTTCGAGGTAATCTGTCTTGTTGCATTATACCTGCCGGACAGAGATAAACTCTCACTTCGCCAATGAAATTGTGTGCTTCATGATACTGTGATGAATGTCCTTTACAAACAAGACGAACGTACTACATATTATGCGCTGCCATGGCTGTTAGAAAGGGGATTTGAACGAGGGACCCAACGCCTAATATCGCGCAGCAACCTAGACGTGAACATTTCGGTGGCCGGCCGGACCAGATTGATCAACACACCCTTACTCATTGCTATCGGGTACGGTCGTGCGAATATGGTGGAGCTCCTTCTGCGCAATGGAGCCCAAGTCAATCTCGGAACAGATATATCCGCCTTGGAATATGCTGCGACTCTGGGATACTACGACCTGACAAGTTTACTCCTCCAGCATGGCGCCCATGTAGACCTCGTGGGCGTAATGTGCGGTCTTTCTCCTCTTGGATGTGCTCTTGAATTTGGCAACCACCCCGAGAAGGCAACCCATACTTGTGGGCCAGACAGGCACTCTGTGGTGATTTGTCAAAACTCAAAGGAGAGAGCGAGTTTGTCGCTGTGATCCAGTTGCTGCTAGCGAACGGGGCAGATCCTCATTTCCAGTCCGATAAAACCTTGTCTACTGCCCTGCACAGGATTCCCAAGGGCCCATGGAAGTCGCCAGGGACATTGTTCAGTCTGTTTCTTGATTTTGGTGCTGATTTAAATGCACAAGATTCGAAAGAAGACACTCCCCTTCATATTGCCCTCTCCCATGACGCATTCCTGGGAGATATGAAAGCCCAAAAAGAGTTTGTGGCATTGCTCTTGAGGTCTGGTGCCGATGTTAACCTACAGAACTGGCGTGGAGAGATACCACTAGGTATCAGCGTTGAGAATCCGGGCATCTTTGAACTTCTCATAAAACCAGTGTCGGGCACTCGTTGGCGTGGAAAAAGCGGAGACGAAATTATTCGGAAGCTTTTAAAAACACCGTGGCGAAAGCAAAAGAAAGGTGCAAAGCAACATGTGATCAATACTATCTTGATAGAGCTGCTCTTGGAACATGGGGCTTGTGCAGATCAAATCATTGATAGGGAATGTCTACTGGACTTGCCCGCGGCAGCGAGATACCCTATGCTGAAAGATTTGATGAGCAAGAGGGAAATGGCTCCCCACAGAGGTCATCCCCGGCCCTGAAAAATAGCAGGCCTACGTGTAAAGTGACCAAATATAAGAAGGCCACGAGAACACGACCCGGGAAAAAAAGCGACAAAATAGACAAAAGAAGATCACGATGCCCACAAAGTTCATGAGAAAACCGCTCCCAAGGATTCCTCGGAAGGCTTGAATCAAATCTGGGCTACGTGGGTAATATTCCCAAGAGATTGCGCATGGGTTTGGAACTCCAATTTAGACAGCCTCTTTGGAGATCACCTATCTTGTCGGGAATGAAAGGGTTCATTGCTGATTGCTATTAGAGTATGGCAGAAGTGCTCCAAATCTCAGTGAAGACAATCTAACTTTCAAATGCAAAGGCCATGATGTCGTAACAAGCTTTTATGACTAGTTAGGTTGGTCTCAAGCACCAGGGAGCACCGTATGATACCTATTGATTTCGTGTACTTCTACGGGTCAAGAAGAGTGCCAATTTGGACTCTGTTTTGAACGCATCACCAGATGTGGTAATCCGCTAGCGGAAAGTGCAAGCCCTAAGACTGCTTAGTCTTTTAACTTTGGTATATAAGAGTATGTTCAGTTGCATTAACAAAAACCATGATACAAGGCAATATTATACTATGTATTGACATGGATGGAAGTTCAAGTATATTAGCCGAAAACCCGGATAAGTGATACCCAAAGATCCAAGGTTTTGATTATAACCAAATCAAATCTTGGCATTCTGTGAGAGCTTTTTCTCTTCAGCCTGATAGAGCTTGACCAATTGACGCACAGACAGATCAAGAAGCACGTCTTCCGAGCCACCTGGAATACGAGCACCAGGAACATCACGAAGAATAGCTATAGGCGCTGTTAGCTTGTTCCAAACACATACTGAGAATCCAGCGAACGTACCTTCGACCAATTCACCCTGACCGGTTTTGGTAAATCCACTTCCTCCAAACAACAACACCGCTGTTTGGGCACACTCGTTTAGAACCATAGCGGACTTCGCTTTGGCCAATGCCGTTAGGCCACCAAGTTGACGATCACCTTCCTCTTTGCTGAGATGAACCAGTTGGTACAAGATTTGCTCAACCCAAGCCCACATAGATTCAAGCTCAGCGCCTGCCTTGGCTAACCGATGGCGGACCACGGGTTGGTCCATGAGTGTCTTTCCGAAAGCCTCGCGCTTCAGACAGTACGAGAAAGCCGCAGAAAGAGCTACACGAGCCTGGCGAGTGACTCCAACGGCAATAACAAGTCGCTCGTGGTTGAAGTTAGTCATGATAATACGCATGCCGTCGCCTTCTTTGCCAATGATGTTCGACACGGGAACCTTGACGTCGTCGAGCTCAATGTATGTAGTCCCGCCTGTGATCTGGCCTGAGACTTTGAGTCGGCGCATTGTAACACCGGGGTGGCCCTTCAATGGCACAACCAGAACGGAAAGACCCGCAGCTCCTGGTCCACCAGTGCGCACAGCCATGGTGGTATAGTCCGACCAGATACCATTGGTGATCCTAGTTATTGGTGTCAGCTCACAGCTTTATTAGTACTGCAGGGTTGCCTCTTACCATTTCTTGGATCCGTTCAGAATGTAGTGCTGACCATCAGCACTCTTGACGGCAGTTGTGGTGATATTCGCGACATCACTACCGGCCTCAGGCTCTGTGATGGCAATACAGCTTCGCTTTTTACCTGTAAGCAGGTCGGGTAAGAACCGCTCTTGTAACTCAGCGCTACCAAATTTGTAGATAGGTGCAATTCCAAAAGCGAATCCGGCGGTTAGAGATGCACCGGGGCCACTGAGACCAGAACGGGCAAGCTATTTTGTAAGTGATTGGTCAATTATCCTGCAATTGAAAAGCACAATTAGGTATTTTTTTTTTTTGGCATACCTCATCACAGTAGATTCCGGTGTAGATATAGTCCCAGTCTTCAACCTTGACCCCAAGGATATCATTGATTCCCAGGCGTTTCAGCCAATTCACAGGCAATGGGGCTGGCATATTGGGCAACAGCATATTATGCTTGCAGAATGTGTGGAATACATGCTCAGGGACCGTTCCCTCACGTTCCCACTCCAGTGCATGCTGGATCAAGTTCTCTGTTGCAAATTTACGACATGCTTGTTGGAAGCGGCGGTGGGCAGGTGTGATGTAGGGAGAGGGGAGGCCACGAAGGTAGGGTGGCTCTGAGAACGGAATAGGATTTGGAGAGTTGTACGCCATAATGGAAGAGTCGATAAAGATATACACTATAAGGCAACTTACACGGCATTATGTATTAGATCCCAAGAATTTTTATTTATCAAAATGATTACCTAGGCAGCCTATGTCATATGAGGGGTTGGACTGGGTTCTCCGCATCCCGGGGTAAAGTGGGCGACCGAGGCTCGGGTGATTTGTGCAGGTGCATGCTGATCACAAGTCTGCACAAGCATGCAAGTCACGTGAACTGTTCGTTGTAGTTTATACATCGCTACGAAGTAATAGGTTGACATGTCACATAACCTTTAGTTGGGTAGACAGAAACTGCGGCCTATATTACTACCTACCTATAGTGGTCTTGAGACCCTATAGGACCCATTTTATATAGAGAGCCTTCTAAGGTTATACTTCAGGTATGTCTGCTTATGTATATGCACCTATACATTCTGGATAACTATTCCCTAGCGGGTAGGGCTTCCTTAATTGAGCTGTTGTCGCTTTTATGAGGGTGCTCAGGCTCAGGCTCACTGAGTAGATGCCAGCATGGGCTCAGATTAGTGATCATGCTCAGATCAGTCACATGCAGGATTACTGAGAGTGCTCAGTGAGTAGTAATATTGATGCACTCAGCCCACCTCAGACTATACCTAGAAGGGATTAGCCCTATAGGGTCGCTTATACAACATATTTGTTTTAGTTTTTGAATTAAATTGTAATCCTCTATATATATCCAAATTTTTAGAGTTTTAAGCGTATACAAATTTAGTTTGTTTAGTTTGTACTATATTAGGGCGTAAGGGTAAAATTGAGATCAAAATCTCAGTCAGTTCTCCGTGGAGAGAAGAAATGGGAACAACGTTACATTACGATCGATAATAATTAAGCAGAGCATTGCGTGTAAAGAGCCCATAGGATGGATTTAAGGCACCAACTTTCACTTGTCCATGGCCCCACAAGTGGTAGACCGAAGCTGCATCTGGGCGTATCAACTGGAGCGCGTGACCGGTGATGCAGGGGATTGTTGGCCATATTGCCGATAAGTAGCGAATGGGGCTTACTGAGACGAGACGGCAGCGAGCCCTTCGTCAGCAATCAGAGCAGCATACATGAAAGCGTGAAAGGCAACGTGAGCTTATACGATTTTGGTGGGCGATCATGATAAGGAGATATGGTCCTGAGGGATGCGGTTTGTATACGTAAAGGAAAGCGACTTGAATTCAGATACATAATCCCATATCTCGAATTTAGGTCGGGAACAGCAAGTTTCCAATACAAGAGCAGGATTGTATTTCTCGACCAATACCTCAATCAGTCTGGTCCCAGACCCCGTTCGCCATATTGAGTGCAATCTCACTGAACTGGTCGGGCGTCAGTTCGTGTGCTAGGGTGACACGAATCGCGTATGTTGTCGCAATGACCGAATCCAGCTCCAGTTTTCTATCCCCAACCACCTTCATGATATGACACAGGAGAGTCTCCATAGGAAATGGCCGTGATGCACGGTAGATGCACTTGACGGTGTCAATATGCTGACTCCGAACGATGATATCGACCGCGGGTGGGCCCATATACTCCTGATAATCGCCCTCGGATGCAAGCCTGATCTCGCCGGTAGCGCGATCGTAATACTTGCCATCCACAATTGGTGTTCGTTCCTCATCGTGCCATCCAGGGGCGTGGAACTCCAAAGGATGGGTTGATGACATAATAGAGAAGAATTGAGATAAAGTGTCTTGAGTTGTGAGTTTCAAGGTAGTTTTGGTATGATAGTATACTCTTTTGATGGGTTTTGTCTTATGTTGGGGAGATGTGGATGGAAAGTCTGAGATGTGCGACGTGGATGCTTTTATATGCGACAGGGTGGGTGGCAATAGCTAGTTATATGCAGTAAACCTGATTATACCATCATGCAAGTTGGGAAGGGGTAGCATTCTAAAAAGGTTGGGGGCGGCGGAAAAGCCGACCCCCCGGCAGGCAGCATTATAATCACTCATAGCCACTCACATCCTTGACACAGGTGATCAGCTTCTACGTGGAGGCTCTTTGTTCGCTATGGTACATGTAGGAGTATCATCTATTGGCGTACGTTACGAATATCACATTCTGAATTATACATAGGACTCGATCTATTATTTCACGATGGCCAATCGGGTATATTGTAAAGACTGTCTGATTGTGTTTCTCGAACTAGTAGTCACTTGCAGTACGGATAGACACCCATTCCCCATTTCACTTCCATCCGGTGGCAAAGATGCCGCATTTCCTAAGAAGACCAAGTTAGGGTTTCGATCTCAAGCTGTCATACAGGCACTGGGTATTCTACACAGAAACAATACTCACTACGCCGCGTGGCAGCCACACTTGGCACACTGGCCGCCTTTCTTCGCCAGAGATGAAGGGTCACAAAGGTAAGTTCCCTTGCTGTCACATCGACAGCCATCTTTCTTCTTCCCGTTGGTGCAACGAGCGTCGGGGTGCAAACCCCCTTCGCACTTAACGGTGTACTTGGCGCGGGGAGCCACCTCGACAGGGTTCAGCTCAGGGCCGGCAATGGGGTTGGCCATGGCAATGGTGCCAAGGACACCGGTAATGAGAACTGCGAACTGAGTGGGCTTCATGTTAAGTAGTTTGATGGAGTTTGGAGGAAATGATTTTGTGGATGCCCAGGTGTATGGGAGCGTCCTTCTGTGACTTATATAGAAACAGGACCGGAGACATTCTTCTTCTTTTACACAATACGGCCACCACGACAGAGAGCATGAGACTACCTACATGTGAGTTAGGGTGCATAATGCATGTAAGGAGAGATGGAGCGACACGCTCATG